GAACAATTCCACTGCCGCTCTTAGATTATAAGTCACTTACGCGTAAATGACGAACATATTAGAATATTCCGTGTTCGTTAGGACACGCATCGTTCTGTTTAGTAACGCAAGGCAAAGCTAAGTGACCGCTCGCTCGAAGATTTTCTTCCAGAAAATCTTTCCCCACTTGGTGCACAAGTTCGTTACAGGAAATGTGTTTGTATTTTTCAACTGAACCCGACTTCGTTTCCTTGACATCCTTAAAAATTCTTCACGTGCAGAACACTCGAACCGATAACAAGGGACAGACTTGCACTTACCAGATGCGAACGATTGAATTTGACTTTTATCGTACACATCTGGCTGAACGCACGCTGTTGCTGATCTTGCCATAAAATTGTAAAAAGAAAAAAATCTTACTCTCTTCGATTACCCTTAAAAAGACGTTAGCGACAATACACACTGCAATACACGCTTCCTAAAAATTCAGCGCTGCAAAACATATTGTTATGCAACTGAGTTATGAATTTTTTTTGCAAGGGAAAAGTTACTCATTACGTGAATACAACTCGGGAGTGTGCATCACGTTCGGCAGTAGTTATACGAAACGTAGAAGGTAATCCTTTTCTGCTTTGAATTTTTGGAAGGCAGTGTTCTTTACCGTCAACATTTTTTTAATAGTAATAGAAGAGAATCAGTGCTTTTGTTTTTACAATTTTATGGCAAGGTCTCGAACAGCGCGCGCCTTGCATGCTGTGTACGATAAAAGCCAAATTCAGTCGTTCGCATCTGGTAAGTGCATTTCTGGATGGTGTCTCTTGTCATCGGTTCGAGTGTGCTGTACATGGAGAGTTTCTAAGGACGATAAGGAAACGAAGGCCGGGTTCAGTTGAAAAATACAAACACATTTCCTGTAACGAACTTGTGCACCAAGTGGGGAAAGATTTTCTGGAAGAAAATCTTCGAGCGAGCGGTCACTTAGCTTTGCCTTGCGTTACTAAACAGAACGATGCGTGTCCTAACGAACACGGAATATTCTAATATGTTCGT